GTCCCCGAAGGGACATCATGCTTCTTTTTATAGTTTATAAACAAAAATCCTTTTTCTTCGTGTGTAAGATAAGAAAGGCAGCCAGAGAAAACAGGGGAGAGATTAATGGAAGCATTCCACGAAATAGTCACCACCCCGGAATGAAATTAGGTCCTATCGCCTTTGCCATTGCCTTGCTGGCCCCGACCCCCCCTCGCTCTCTCCTTGGGTTGCCTTGTTCGTCTTCTCTCTTGCTTGCTAGTCCTCTCTCTCCCTCTCTTTGCTGTGGAGCGGAGAAGATAGAGAGATTCCCTGATCTGCTCGTCGTTCGAGCCTGCCTGCCTGCCTGCAAAATTTGGCAGCCGCGAGAAGGGAGACCGAAAAGGAGAGCGGAAAAGCGCATCTTATTTTAGTCTCTCCGCCTCAGCTTCGCGGTTGCTTCGTCTGGATCCCGTAGAGGAGCCCACCCGTTCCACCAAAACCCAATCTTCCGCTTGCTCGAGATCGATTGGTTTCCAGATCCAAGCCCGCCCCTCCCTCGTCGCGAGATCGCAGGAAATCTGGGTGCGCGGCTCTGCAGGAAGCTAGCCATCCAAGAAAAAGGTGAGTTGTTCTTTTCTTGTTTGGTCCCTCGTCTTCCAATGCTAGTAGGGTGTGGTCGTTCTTGGCGATCTCTCCCCCTTCGATCGCGCAGCGTCTGCCGTGGATTGATCGGGCTCTTGATCTTGGTGTTTGTGTTGGTTGGTTTCGATGGCAGATTTGGCGAGGCGAAGGGAAGGGGAAAGGATATCGGGAGAGAAGGCGAATAGACATGGCTTTTGTGAGGCAGCGGGCGATGGGGAGGTGGCGGAGATGAGGGATGCTATCGTCTGCGATGGATTACCTGAGATCTTGCTGGGGTCCGACGTCGTCGCCGGACGGGCGCCCTCGCAAGGGGGTGGATGCGGCCGGCCGGCAGGACGGGCTCCTGTGGTACAAGGACGCAGGGCAGCTCGTCGCCGGCGAGTTCTCGATGGCGGTGGTCCAGGCTAATAACCTGCTGGAGGACCATAGTCAGGTGGAATCCGGGTCGCTGAGCACAACGGATCCCAACCTGCAGGGCAGCTTCGTCGGCGTCTATGATGGCCATGGTGGACCGGAGACGGCGCGCTACATCAATGACCACATGTTCAACCATCTGAAGGGTAATACCTCAATTGTTGCTGCGGCTCTCCTGATGTAGAACTTAAACTAGAAAGGATTTTACATCAAATGTCAGTCTAGCTATGCACTGCGATCCATAGTTGTATTGTTTCCCATTGCTAGACCTGCAAGTGTCTGTGATTGATGCTGATTGTTGTCAGCCATTTTTCTTGCCATGGATGTAGATATTTATTGGATGCCTGCATTGCAAGGGATATAGTTCTACTTGTAGTAATACAGAAAACAAACAAGTGCAATTTAAATGATGTTCTCTTCGGAGCAGTTGCCTAGTTTATACTATATTCGATCCTTGGTTGATTTATTTTACTTTCAAGTATAATGGAAGCACATTTATTGTTGACTGTAGAGTGAATAAATGATAGTGTCGTTTACTACCTTCACGTCATATTATGATATGTTTGAACTACATGTCAATCTCCATTAGTTCCCTTGCATGATGAACTTCCTTTTTCAGGATATGCATCTGAGCAGAAGTGCATGTCAGTGGAAGTAATTCGGAAGGCTTTCCGAGCGACCGAGGAGGGATTTCTCTCTCTAGTCAGTAATCAATGGTCGGTGAGGCCGCAATTAGCGGCGGTAGGCTCTTGCTGTCTAGTTGGTGTGATTTGTGCTGGAACTCTCTATGTTGCAAATGTTGGGGACTCTCGTGCTATTCTGGGGAGACTTGTCAAGGGAACTGGAGAGGTTGTGGCTATGCAGCTCTCAGCAGAACATAATGCATCCTTCGAGGAGGTTAGGCGAGAGATGCAGGCAATGCATCCTGATGATCCCCACATTGTGATCCTGAAGCACAATGTTTGGCGTGTGAAGGGTATTATTCAGGTAAATGCTTGGAGTTCAGAAATTGCAACTGGCATGTGATCCATAGCTTCCTTTATACAGTCTTCGGACATTAGGCTAAACTTTTCATTATTACCATAACTGCGTTTAAATGCTGCGTCATGGTGCTTCTATTAGAATTATTGCTGCATGTTTTTACATTAGGCAAATTCTCAGTTATCAGCTATATTTAGGTGTTCTTGTTGGCTATTTTTTTACCCGTGTATACAATCTGCAATAATGCAACAGTCCGAGTCTTGTAATTAGGTACAGTAGTAGCCAAGACAAATACCATATTCAGCTGTTGAATGCATTTCCCTTGATGTCGATCCCGCAAATTAATTATTATGTATGCCTGCGTTTCTTAAAACAGATATGAGGTGTGCTTATCATGTACAATATCGTCATGTGCATTTCCTAGATGAATCATTTTAATCTGCTGTTGTCTCTTGCATCGTTACTGCTTAGTCCCTTCCCAAATGCCATGCAATTGCTTCTGCCGTGTATCTCACATGGTAGGATAATGTGTTGCAGATAACAAGGTCCATTGGAGATGTGTATCTGAAGAGACCAGAATTCAACAGAGAACCTTTGCATAGCAAGTTTCGGCTTCCAGAAACTTTCCAGAGACCGCTTCTTAGTTCTGAGCCAGCAATTACTGTACACCAAATACAGTTAACTGATCAGTTCATCATTTTTGCATCTGATGGGCTCTGGGAGCATCTTAGTAATCAGAAAGCTGTTGAGCTAGTCCACAGTAGTCCTCGTAATGTATGTGTTCTTATCTTATGTTTAGTTTGTGTTACTGGGTTCTTTGAAAGCTAAGTGCTAGTTCATGCATTCTTTTTCCGAACCACAAAGTACGTATTTTTGCTTCTGTAGTAATTTTATCGTTCTTTGGTTGATGTTTCTGTTGAGGTAAGTGGCTATATTTTCTTTCTTATAAGGAATTAGGGAATACCAGATATGAACATCTTTAGAACTCTTTCTAAGTTCTGTTAACATGTAATAGTTCTGCAAGAACATAGTATAGACATTATCATGCAAGGGTATATTAGATTTTGTTCGCCTGCCACGATGGTTGCAACTGACTTAAATGGCACCAAGTTATCGATTTTGTAGCAGTTCCGCAGTTGTTGCTGTTTTAGGTATTTAAATTTGTCTGCATCAAAATGTTGTTTGAGATAACAACAATGGTTTAGTCCCTAGAATTTTGTGTTCCTCTGCTGGTCCTGGATTAGGTCATGTCTGGCTAATGTGGTATAGGTTATATTGTTGATTATCTATGTCTCTCTTTTCATGTCACACTATTGGAATCCCTAGTCGCTGAATTGAAGGTTACTTGCTTAAACTTCAGTCTGCAAATGCCTGGTTGGTTGCTTATTGAGGAGATATTTTGTACTCCCTCCGTTCCTTTATAGTAGCAGTTATCATCTTCAGAGTTCAGACCTCCTTTTCTTTTCCAAGGGAACCATTTTTAGATCTCTTCAACATCTGCATTCTACATGAAGCATTGTGAATGAGCTACTTTACAACTGATTCGGTTATATTAATCACACCTTCCTGAACTATGGCGATTGGCACCTCACCAACTAACCAATGTAGACATGCTACTGAATCTCACTTCACATTTCAGTTTGCAAACAAACCATGTAGCAGAACCCAGCTTCATTATGTCTAAACATCTTGTTCTCATATTCTACTAGAGTCTTGTGTTCCTTAATTCATTTCATAGAACAACATTGTTTTCTTATTTTGTTATTAATGTTATCGTAACTTTATATGTTTCAGGGGATTGCTCGAAAGCTAGTGAAGGCTGCAATGCAGGAAGCAGCAAAGAAGAGGGAGATGCGGTATTCAGATCTCAAGAAAATTGACCGTGGAGTGAGGCGCCACTTTCATGATGATATAACGGTTGTCGTGGTATTTTTTGATTCGAATGCCATAGCCACTGACGCCTGGAACCGGCCCACAGTTTCTCTGCGAGGTGGTGGCGTTGCCCTCCCTGCAAATTCCCTTGCTCCATTCTCAGGTTCCTAGCCCTTCCACTGGAGTTAAGAAGACACGAAGACCAGAAAAGGGAAGGAAAAGAAGAAGACAAGAAGAGCAGCAGCCACGGTCAAGTGTAGCGCGTTTCCTGTGCGTTCTCGCAAGAAAAAAAAACTTTTAGATTCAACCTGGTTACTAGTGTACTGATAGGGGCAAGGTATAAGATTAGATTATTCTTAGTGTACATTCTCCGGATCGTCTTGTGATAATAGTTCATCTCATCACCATTTCATTTTGTTTAGCCCCTCACAAAGTGCTGCATCTATAGGCTGGCTAATCTTCGGCATGTAGCAGGTTGCTTTCTTTATGCCTTAATCTGCTGAGCTCTGATCAACACGATCTACAACGTTACTCTGTTGACATGTCGATGCCACATGTGAACTTGCACATATTGAACAGCTCTCGTCACAGGGAACCTGATGAAGAAGCCATTTGTGATGGCAATGCCTTGTGGAGTTCGCATCGAAGCTGAGCCCCTCATTTTAATTTCTTTATTACGTGCAATTTGAAAGAAACTTCCAAAGTTTTAATCAAGGTAGAAAGCGAGCATGATAAAACTAAGATTTTGTAGCATTGGTTTTCTGTTGCCAAGAACAGCCAGATCTGGTGCCATCCTTCCGTCCCATAATGTAAGACATTTCTGACACTACACTCGAGTCAAAAAAGGCATACATTATGGGGCGGAGGGATTAGAAAGCAGATGAACCATATACGCAACATCCTCTCAGTACGACGAACTTGTATAATTTATGGCAATGAAACATCACAGCATATTACTCACTCTGTTATCTACTACTCCAAAACATGAACACAGAGAGTTTCTACCTAGCCCAACAGGTGCACCTCTGCCCTTCGAGGGCTTGCTCCTTACCGGAGGCCAGAGAAGCAAAAGTGTTTGCCACCTTCAGAATGATGAGCTCTCTCACCATCGACTTGCCTTCACTGTGAGTTCAGGGACCGAGCAACTTCTTCCACCAGGCGTACCCTAACAGAACAACGGAGATCACAAAGCAGCCTGACGATGTACCTCCGACAAATGGCCAAAAGAAGCTGCCATCTGCGATGTCATAAAAATGGCATGGAATGTTCATCGCAAATGCCCCAGCTATGAAGGTATTGACGGCTATGCCGAAAGATGCAATGGTCAGCGTAAGCTGAAGTTGGATCAGTTCATTTCGCTGATTGTCGAGTTGAATGTTGACGTAGTCTTCTGTGTCATCAATATACTCTCGGACCTGTTAAATTTCCAAAGGAGAAATCAATGTCCACATCAAGATGAGTAAGAAATAAGAACCCAAATAACTCAACCAAAATATGATCCTGATAATGAAATAATTCAGCATATGATAATTTGCTGCCTCGAGTATCAACTGAGCCTTGTGTTTTTCAGAACAAAAGACAATTTATCTGCGCAATTTCAGAACAAAAGACAATGAAGACATGGAACAACAACTAAATTCCACATGATTACTCAGCACCAAATACGTACAATATCAAGAATTAAGGTAAGCCAGTGTTAAATAGCTCAAGAAAACAGTAACAAGGCTTATGTCGGAAGGACTAACCGATAAAATTCTGTTGCGAATTCCATCCAGCTGCATGAAGTAGGCCTCAAGCAACATCTCGAGGTCTTCCACATCGTTATCCAAATATATACTGGTGGCAATGCTCACACTGCGCCGAAAACTGGAGTTCAGCCTTGGCAGACTTGCTCCTGCGGGAACAATGCTATTGGAAGCAGCAGACGTCATTAAAGCCTCAACCTGCTGATTCTGTGCTTGCTTCCTTGTAAGATAAAGATGTGCCATGTCTTCATTATCATCTAGAAGATGTTCTATCTCATCTCTGACCTAAGAAGAGCAGCATGTGGGTTATCATCAAGGTTCTCAAAACTACAATAAAATTTCCCAGCAGCAATACACTTTAAGCAATAAGATTGAGAAGTTTAATGGC